TTGGCCTTGTCGCTGTTTTAAGTGCTCTATAAATAAAATGGTATGGTATGGTAATGATGAGACTGACCTAAGAGGCTGAAGTGGCTAAAGTCGTCCCTGGCCCAGTTCTGCTCCAGTCTGGTTCCGGCGGCACTTCAAAACATCGGAGTGTCTCCTCCAGGTGAACACAGCGATTCCCACGGAGATGGACAGTCCTTCGTTTAAAGGTAATGGGCTGCTCACTGAGGGTGAGACTTGCTCTATTGAAGACGAAGTCCCCCACAGCCAACTCAGTTCAGTTCTGGTCCTGTTCGGGGACAAAGGTACAAGTCCCCCACACCAAATGAAGACACCATGATGGGCCAGTCTAGCAGAAAGCCAGCAAAATACCACCCAGTGATTCTTGTCGGAATCAGGTAGAACCACAAAGGTCCAGATGAGAAAATCGGTTGGGGTCCAGAGAGAGAGGAAAAAAACACCGGACCTTCGTGGGACGACTCCCCAGCTCGAGGGGTCACCTGGCCGGCAGGGTGCACTCAGAGTGACCCGTGGGGTGGGAGCGGTCGGTCTTGCGCCAAAATTTTTTTTTGGATGGTCCCATCCAGCTCTCTGAGTCACTGAACACCGAATTCAGTTGGAAGGGGGACCAACTTTAGTCCGGTTCGAAAAATGGGTCAGGTTGATGATAAAAGGCTACAGAGAAGCCAGGGGGAGCTACTGTCCATCAGCTTACCGCAACCCAGAAATATGCCAAAATATTGTCACAACTGTCACACCTCAAAAATATTTGAGGTATGACAGGACAGCCTTGGGTCAAAGGATGGTGGTATGTCTGTGTCAGGCTATCTGCCTGGGAGGAGTCAATGAGGGACAGGACGGCCCCCAGAAACCATCTTAGCTCCAGAAAACTGGTTGGTCCACTTAAGGAGTTTACTGCTTGGTGGGGAAACACTTTACTGGGACTCCTCTGGCTGATGAAGCCCTCCGGATAGATGGTGAAACGTCTCTATAACAAAGAAACTGTCCAGACGACCTGACTGAGAATGATTGGATTTGGTACCTGGATGACTGAGCATGAACTTTGTTGCCTTGAACCATTTTGGCTGTGGCTGCCTGCCTGGGAGGAGTCGACAAGGGACAGGACGGCCCCCAGAAACCATCTTAGCTCAAGCAAACTGGTTGGTCCACTTAAGGAGTTTACTGCTTGGTGAGGAAACAGTTTACTGAAACACATTTGGCTGATGAAGCCCTCCAGATAGAGGGTGAAATGTCTCTATAAAAAACAAACTGTCCAGATGACCCAACTGAGAATTATTAGGCCCAAGCAGTGAAGCGCTGCGAAGGCCTATTGTAATCGCTCTGTTCAGGTCGGAGTTGCAATTTTTTAAGCCAAATGAATTGGCGTTTTGGGGGCCTTCACATTTCCCAAAAGTCACCAAATTTGGCGGACACATTGGGACTGGTGAAAAATTATATATTTTAAGGGCGCGGCAAAAATCGCAACAGAAATTAATCAAGAGCGCCACCTAGAAATTTTCAAAATACCCTCCACATAAATTTTTGTTTGTCATAGAAACATGAAATTTGGTACACTTGTCCAATTTCCCAACATGCACAGAAAACCCTCTGGCACCAACATTGTACGATAAACAGGAAGGCGGTCATTTTGGAATGCCAGCACAATTTTCACACCTATTTGGCGGTTTACAGCCTCCGCATTTGAACAAACTCCTCATAGGAATTTCGCTCAATCGGTTTCAAACTTGGCCATTTTGGTCAAAAGGCATGGGGGACGCAAAGTTATCTAAACAGTACATTTCGGAGCATCCTGAAGGGGCAGGTCCAGACCTGAAAGTTTGACATCTCGCCATGAAAAACAAAATGCTAATAGCTCCTAGACAAAAACTGTCTGAGACATCAAACCTTCAGTGATTGATCCACATCCGGTCCCCTGCAAGACTGAATGGTAAAATCATGACAACACTTAAGCCACACCCCCTGACAACTGGAAGTATAAAGTTTTATGTTGAACAATCCCTATCTTACCCCTGTTATCTGATCAGCATGCTTGTGAGTCCAGTGACTGAAAACATATTGATGTAACCTGCTTTCCAACACTGACAGTTTTGGGTGGAGCATGTGGGCGGCACGGCATGGCAAAGTAAGTCATAACTCTGTCACCATACATTTGGCTCTAAATTCCACAGTTTTGAACCGAGGTGCACCAAAATCAGTATGAGCGATCATTATATACCCCTTACCATGGAAGCCATGATAAGTGGCCAATAGCCTCCACAGCGCCCCCTAGAATATTATAAACCTTAGCTCCAAGCCATTTTTTGACCGATAATTCTGAAACTCGGTGAACATCTTTATCTTCTCAGGACCTATGAAAAAGTCTCTTGGAGCACTGGTCCAAAATCAACAGGAAGTCGGCCATTTTGGGTCAAAAGGTCAATTTTGGGCATTTCTAATAGCAAATTTTAACAAACTCCTCCTAGGGATTTTGAAGGATTGCCTTCAAACTTGGTTAATATGCCCTTAAGACATTGGCGAGTAAAAATTATCTAAAGCTTATGTTTTTGTATATGTTAAAGGGGCATGGCAAGCCCTGAATTCTCGCTTCACGCCAAACTTCCAAACACAATAACTTTCAAAATGAAAGACCAAAATGCACGGAACTTTGCATGACTCAACCCATGTTGGATGCTCGATCATCCACTGTGGTCATATTTTGACGTCATCAAAGCCCCGCCTCCTCAAAACAGGAAGTCAATTTTTTATCTTGGAATGCTCCCTCTTTGGCACCATTGGCCTAATCAGGATGATCATGTGTTAGAAAACAGATACTATGGTCTGACTTAATTTAAAGTGCAAACCGTTTTTGCTTGAGGATGTGTGCGTGACAGCGTGGCAAATTAAGAAGTGACGCCGTTGCAACACGTTTGGCTCCAAATTGCACAGATTTCAGTCAAGGTGCACCAAAATCACTATGAGTGATCATTATCTGCCCCTTGAACAGGTATCCATGATAAGTGGCCAATAGCCTCCACAGCGCCACTTACATTATTCCTACAGTTATAGCTCAGTGATACAACATCTGATCTGCACCAGATTTATTGTGCGTCATCAGTGAGGAATTTTAGACACATTGATATTGTGGTTTAACATATGACTCTAGTGCACATCCTAGATTATTCTAAAAGTTATATCTCAATCCGCAACAGATGTTTGGTGCGTCACCTGTGAGCATTTCTAGACACATTGGTATTGTCGTTTAACATTTGACTCAAGTGCGCCCCCTAGATTATTCAACAGTTATATCTCAGTGGTAGATCATCAGATCGGAATTTTTTTTTTAATGCATAATCAGTGAGCACGTCTAGACACATTGATATTGTGGCTCAACATATGACTCAAGTGCGCCCTAGATTATTTAATCAGTTATATCTCAGTGATATATCATCCGATCTACACAAGATTTTGAGTACGTCATTAGTGAGCACTTCTAGACACACTGGTATTGTTGTTTAACATTTGACTCCAGTGCGCCCCCTACATTATTCCAAGTTATATTTCAGTGATACAACATCCAATCTGAACCAGAATTTGTGCATAATCAGTGACCACGTCTAGACACATTGATATTGTGGTTTAACATATGACTCAAGTGCGCACCCTAGATTATTCCAAGAGTTATATCTCAGTGAAATATCATCCGATCTAGGCCAGACTTTTTGGTACATCATTAGTGAGCTCTTCTAAACACACTGGTATTGTTGTTTAATTTTTTAATCCAGTGCGCCCCCTAGATTATTCAAAGTTATATTGCAGTGAAATATCATCCAATATGTACCAGATTTTATGTGCGTGATCAGTGAGCACTTAGACACATTGATATTGTTCTTTAACATTGGACTAAAATGCGCCCCCTACATTATTCCAACACTTAGATCTCAGTGATACATCATCCAATCTGAACCTGAGTTTTTGTGCTTCATCAGTGAGCACTTGTAGACACATTGGTATTGCTGATTCATGACATCACTTAAGCCCCACCTACTCAGAGAAAGAACTGTTGATTATTGGATGACACTTCCAACTTCGCACTGTGTAAGATATTACACTGAAACTTTGTTCGCTACACATGACATGAAGCATAAAGCATACAGGAAAAGCTTGTCAAACATTCGCAACAAAACACGAAGTCATTCATAACTCCTGTCTGGAAGGTCAGATTTCGCCTATGCTTGTAAAACCTGCAGCTGGACAAGTAACGACATGGATGGAAGGCGACGTCGAAGATTTGGGAAATGCGCCCCGTGGGAAACGTGTGTGGGATTGGCACGAGAGCGTTCGCGATGGTGACTGGGTGGACTAGCTGGAGCTCCCGCGGTCTCCGTAAGGATGGAGCGGCGCTTTGCTGCGAAGGACTCCAATGCCGCTTGCAGCTTTAGTTGGATTTGGTAACTGGATGATTGAACATGAACTTTGTTGAAGGATCATTACTTATTTACTTACTTACCTTCAAAGGAAATTTTAATATAGTAATAAGGGCAGCGTGGTGGGATAATTTATATGGCTTGGCGGGCCAACTATGGCCCGCAGGCCCCACTTTGGGCACCCCTGAATTAGTGGGTGAACACAGACAGATTTTATTTACTATTAAAAAGAAAAGCTTGTTCATTGATCCTGCTTGAACTGCACACATAATAGGATGTGCATCATGGCAATACACGCTGTGTGTACAGGGATGTTCGCATATTGCGATAAGGTAAGTGCATAAGTGCAAAGTAGTCACATTTTGTACCCAACTGGTGTTGAACAACAACTGCTGGCCTTAAACGACAACTGCTATGTACAAAAAGGGGGTATAGTTTGGAAAAGGAACAAATAGACTGGCACCTACTCATTTTTAAAATGAATTTAAACAGTATCAAACAATAGGTGGCAGCACAAAACAGTTTTAGGTACAATAAATAAACCTTACAAAGTGCATTGATTAAAAGCTGTAAACGTACAGGTGCAGTTGTCCTCATCGCTGTGGTCTGAGCAGTCCAGGAAACCATCGCACCTCTCAATGTCCAGCACACAGGCTTCACCGTCAGAACAACGAGTCCCATTAACACACAACAGAGACTCATGGGTGGCTGCAGACAAACCATCATCTTTCATTAAATCTATATCATCATATTCTGTATGCAGCAAAAACAATGTGAGAAATATATATTTTTAACTTCAGAAGCATTGTGGTGTTAATTCGGTGTTGACAGACAGTGTTATACCTCTTGTGATTTTGAGACAAACTATCAGTCAAACAGATGTGAAATAAAAAGCATATCGTGCTGCTGTCAACTAATGTTTAGGCTGTAAATATTGCTTTGAAATTAGCTTTATTTTTTCTGAATTCAACTTTGTAACTGAACCATCTACAAAATATAATACTATTTTGTAACAAACAATAATACTTGTTTGATAGCGTGATCTATAAGACTGAAAAATAACTGAAAAAACTATATGTTTGGAGTGTTTTGAAGCTCTCAGACCTTGTTACAGTGATGTGGAGCCACTGACAATCCACATCAGCCACAGAGAGATGCAGAAATGTCGAGAATTCGGCTAAAAGCTCTAAACTTCCGACACCCAAACAGTCATAAATCTGTTCCTCCTTTCATCAGAAACTAACAGAAATGTCTTGTGGCTTTATAGACTTACGGCAGTGAGCTTCATCAGAGCCATCCTCACAGTTGAGTTGGCCGTCACAGCGCAGCCACTCAGGAATGCAGCGGGGGGGTCGGCGACACTGGATTTGACCACGAGTACAATGACCAGGTGATGGAGGAGGGACCAGGGTGGGTACTGGGGTCAGCATTACCGTGTTAGTACCAGTTGTTGCTGAAATAAGAAGTGGGAAATGTCAGTTATCACTTGATTGTGTTTGATTAAGGCCAAAACACACTGATGCTGAAAGAGGTGCTGCAAAAACACCGTTTTTTATTAGGCCCGAGCAGTGAAGCGCTGTGCAGCGAAGCGCTGTGCAGCGAAGCGCTGTGAAGACCTATTGTAATCGCTCTGTTCAGGCCCGAGCTGCAATTTTTCCCACCAAATGAATTGGCGTTTTGGGGGCCTTAACATATCCCAAAAGTCACCAAATTTGGCGGACGCATAAGGACTGGTGAAAAATTATATATTTTAAGAGTGTGGCAAAAATCGCAACAGAAATTAATCAAGAGCGCCACCTAGAAATTTTCAAAATACCCTCCGCATTAACCTTAGTTTGTCATAGAAACTTGAAATTTGGTACGCTTGACCAATTCCCCAAGATGCATAGAAAACCATCTGGCACCAACTTGTACGATAAACAGGACGCAGCCATTTTGGAATAAGGCACAATTTTCACACCTATTTGGCGGATTACAGCCTCCGCATTTGAACGAACTCCTCCTGGGATATTGCTCAATCGGTTTCAAACTTGGCCATTTTGGTCAAAAGGCATGGGGGACGCAAAGTTATCCAAACGGTTCGTTTCAGAACATGCTGAAGGGGTGGGGCCAGACCTCAAAGTTTGACATCTCGCCATGAAAAACGAAACACTAATAGCTCCTACATGAAAACTGTCTGAGACATCAAGCCTTCAGTGATTGATCCACATCTGGATCCCTGCAAGACTGAATGGTGAAATCATGACATCACTTAAGCAACGCCCCAACAACAGGAAGTTTAAAGTTTTATGTTGAACGATCCCTATCTGACCCCTGTTATCTGATCAGCATTATAGTGTGTCCAGTGACCGAAGACATATTGGTGTAACCTGCTTTCCAACACTGACAGTTTTGGGTGGAGCATGTGGGCGGCACAGCGTGGCAAAGTAAGACGTAACTCTGTCGCCACACGTTTGGCTCTAAATTCCACAGTTTTGAACCGAGGTGCACCAAAATCAGTATGATCAATTATTATCCACCCCTTGAACAGGAAGCCATGATAAGTGGCCAATAGCCTCCACAACGCCCCTAGAATATTTTAAAACCTCAGCCTCAAGCCATTTTTGACCGATAATTCTGAAACTCGATTAACATCTGTGTCTTCACAGGACCTATGAAAAAGTCTCTTGGAGCCCTGGTCCAAAACCAACAGGAAGTTGACCATTTTGGGTCAAAGGGTCATTTTTGGGTATTTCTAATTGCGAATAATAACAAACTCCTCCTAGAAATTTTGAAGGATTGCCTTCAAACTTGGTTGATGCCCTTAAGACATTGGAGAGTAAAAATTATCTAAAGCTTGTGTTTTCGTAGATGTTAAAGGGGCATGGCAAGCCATACATTTCCAAACACTATAACTTTCACATTGAAAGACCAAAATGCACGGAACTTGGCATGACTCATCCCTGTTGGATGCCCGATGATCCACTGTGTCATATTTTGATGTCATCAAAGCACCGCCCCCTTGAAACAGGAAGTCTCTTTTTTTAACTTGAAATGCTCCCTCTTTGACACCATTGACCTAATCAGGATGATCCTGTGTTAGAAGACAGATAATATGGTCTGACTTTATTTAAAGTGCAAACCGTTTTGGCTTGAGGATGTGTGCGTGACAGCGTGGCGAACTAAGAAGTGACGCCGTTACAACACGTTTGGCTCTAAATTGCACAGATTTCAGCCGAGGTGCACAAAAATCACTATGAGCAATCATTATCCGCCCCTTGAACAAGTATCCGTGATAAGTGGCCAATAGCCTCCACAGCACCACCTACATTATTCCTACAGTTATAGCTCAGTGATGCAACATCCAATCTGCACCAGATTTATTGTGCGTCATCAGTGAGGACTTTTAGACACATTGATATTGTGGTTTAACATATGACTCTAGTTCACCCCCTAGATTTTTCTAACAGTTATATCTCAATGATACATCATCATATCCGCAACACATTTTTGGTACGTTATCTGTGAGCATTTCTTGACACATTGGTATTGTTGTTTAACATTTTACTCAAGTTCGCCCCCTACATTATTCAAACTGTTATATCTCAATGATATATTATCCGATCTGCACCAGATTTTTTGTGCGTGATCAGGGAGCACTTCTATATACATTTTTGTTGTAATTTTTGGCCAGTAGTCACTGGATTGGTGGTGTAACGTTGCACGTTCGTGGTGAGACGTATTGTGTCACTTCCTGTTTGTCTGCCAGTAGCTCGAGTGAATTGTTTGCTTGAGTCGTCTCTGTTTTCTGGATTTATCTGTCTTTTGCACAGTTTTTCAATCTAGTTCAAAAACACACTTAGTACAGTTGTTTCTCTACTGTTGGACAGTGCTTAAAACACCTTTTATCTTTCAACACTTCTCAGTTTTTATTGGTGTATTTGGCTCTGCTAGCTCTTGCTAGTGTTAGCTTAGCATGGCTGCTGCTTCTCTCCTTGCTTCCTCTGTTTTTAGTTACTTCTCTGCCTCCTTTAGTGGTAATGATACATAACAAATGTAGTGTTATGGTAGCTTTGGAGGAGAGGCTGTCTGAACTGGAAGCTCGGCTCCGCACTGTAGAAAAACCAGCAGCTAGCCAGGTCCCCTTAGACAGCGTGGAACCACAGAGTCTAGCTCCCGTTAGCGGTCCTCCAGCAGATCCTGAGCAGCCGAGACCTCAGGCCGGCTGGGTGACGGTCCGGAGCAAGTGTAGTGCTAAGGCTAAGCCCCCAGTTCACCACCGACCCGTTCATGTTTCTAATCGATTTTCCTCGCTCAGTGACACACCCGCTGAGAAACAGACCCTGGTTACTGGCAGCTCCATAGTCCGAAACGTGGCTTTAGGGACTCCAGCGGCCATAGTCAAATGCATTCCGGGGGCCAGAGCGGGCGACATAGAATCTTATCTGAAACTGCTGACTAAGGCTAAATACGGTAAGATTGTTATTCACGTCGGCGGTAATGACACCCGGTTACGCCAATCGGAGTTCACTAAAATTAATGTTGCTTCGGTGTGTGACTTTGCTAAAACCATGTCGGACTCCGTAGTTTTCTTTGGACCCCTCCCCAACCTGACTAGCGATGACATGTTTGGCCGTATGTCGTCGTTTAACCGCTGGGTGTCCAGGTGGTGTTCTGACAACGACGTGGGCTACATAGATAACTGGAGTTCTTTCTGGGGAAAACCTGGTCTGATGCGGAGAGATGGCATCCATCCCACTTTGGACGGAGCCGCTCTTCTTTCTATAAATATGGCTGATTTTGTTTATCCCCCAAATTATTGACAACCCAGGGTCCAGTCCAGGAAGCAGAGTTGTAGTCCTCCACCCCTCTGCTGCTTCTCCTCTGTTACCCACCCACACCCACATTGAAACAGTGTCAACTCGCCCACGGCTCAAATTAAATAAACCAAAAATCAGCTCTATAAATATAAACCAAAAAAATCTGATTAAAATAAACAGTTACTTTACCAGAGCAAAATCATAAAATCATTAAATGTGGATTATTGAACATCAGATCTGTTTCCTCTAAATCCCTGTTAGTTAATGAACTGATAACTGATCATCATATTGATTTATTGTGTCTGACAGAAACTTGGCTACAACAGGAGGATTTTGTTGGTATAAATGAATCCACTCCTGTTAATTATTTAAATTTTCATGTTCCTAGAACAACTGGCCGAGGTGGAGGAGTAGCTTCTATTTTTCAGTCAGGATTATTGATTAATGCCAAACCAGTTATTAGTTATGATTCTTTTGAATCACTGTCCCTCAGTCTTTCTCATCCAAAATGGAAATCAGAAAAGCAACTTTTACTAGTTGTTATATATCGTCCACCAGGTGCTTACTCTAAGTTTTTGTCTGAATTCTCAGAATTATTAACTGACTTACTATTAAATACTGATAAAATCATCATAATGGGTGATTTCAATATTCATGTGGATGTTGAGAGTGATAGCTTAAGCATAGCCTTTAATAATTTAATAGACTCATTTGGTTTTACCCAAAACGTCCGCACATCTACTCATTCTTATCACACTCTTAATTTAGTTCTGACCTATGGTGTAGAGATTAAGGACTTGGTAATAGTTCCTCAAAATCCTGTTCTGTCCGACCATTTTTTAATAACCTTTGAGTTTACATTAAATGACTACACAGTCACTGAGAGTAAATTTCATCTCAGCAGGTGCTTATCAGAAAATGCTGTAACCAAATTTAAACAATCTCTTCCATCAATGTTTTCCTCTGTCTTGCAGAGTAATGCATCAGAGAACAGAGACTTAGATCATCTAGTTGATCATCTTACAACTTCAATGCAAACTTCACTTGATAAAATTGCTCCACTGAAAAAGAAAGTAATCAATCAGAGGAAACTGGCTCCTTGGTTCAATTCTGAGTTACGTACTTTAAAGCAGCATCTAGAAACCAGGAGAGAAAATGGCGCTCTACTAATGTTGAAGAATTTTATTTAACTTGGAAAGATAGTCTGCTAACATATAAAAAAGCTCTCCGTAAAGCTAGAACTTTATATTACTCATCTTTAATAGAGGAGAATAAAAATAACCCTAGGTTTCTGTTTAGTACTATTGCTAGACTAATTAAAAGTCCCATTTCTGTTGAACCATGTGTCACTACAACTATAAGTAGTGATGACGTCATGAGATTCTTTATAAATAAAATTATTTCAGTTAGAGAGAAAATTCAAACCATCCTTCCTTCTACTATCTCTAGTCCCCTGTCAAATGAGACAACTTTAAAAATTTCACTAGAGCCTGATTTATGTTTGGACAGTTTTTGTCCTGTTGAGCTCTGAATTGTCAAAAATAATAACCTCATCCAAACCATCCACATGCCTGCTAGATCCCATCCCAACCACACTGTTTAAAGAGGTATTTCCACTAATTAATGTCCACATTTTGGATCTACTTAATTTGTC